CATTTACTTCCTCTAGATTCAGAAGATATTTAGAACGGAATGGAATCAAACAACATCTAACAAGTACTCAGCGACCACAGCACAACGGGATAGTTGAGAGACTAAACGCCACACTCGTCTCTAGACTAAGAATAAAATATTCAGAAAATCCAAAACGATCCTGGACTCAAATGTTACGTGACGTTGTGAAAGAATACAACCAAACACCCCATACTATAACAGGATTCCCTCCAATGTTTTTGATGTACGGAGAAATCCCCGATTCACCTCACAACTTGAATTATCCCTCTCTCAGCGAAGCACGTAAGATTGCCACCGAAAGAACTGAATTAGCTCACGAAAGAAACAGAGATAAATATAATAGTCAACATCAAACTCCAAACTTCAAAGTAGGAGATCAAATATTACTACAAACCTTCTTCCATCCCGACCAAGGAAAACTTGCTCCAAAGTATCATGGACCTTTCACCATATTAAAAATAGTATCTCCTTGTAACGTAGAAATAGACAGACCTGTCCAATCATTAAATAAATTAACCGATATTGTAAATGTAGATAAAATTATACCGTATTATAATCCAACCAACTTTAGAGTTCAAGCCGATAAATTGTTTAACACCCAGCCCAACAATGATGTCGCCTTTTCTGGAGGGGGCATTTAACATATTTAAAATTTTTGTAAATTTTGTATATATTTTCTGTATTTTACTTTGTTAATCCCGTCCCTTTTGGAATGAGGTTAACAGCACCAATAAAATAAAGGGAGTTTGAGTGAGGACCCAAAAGTGAACGGACGTGTTATTTTATGGTCTCTAATTTTCTTTGTCTTGTTCAACCTACACTCAACCTTACGACTATGACTGCAAAATAATACGACATATATATGCTCAGAAAAATTTTTTGCTCAGAATCTGCTCAGCAAAAATTTTTTTTGCTCAGAGAAGTATATGTTCTGCTCATCTACAAAAAAAATTAGAGGGAACATTGCTCGTCACATATGCAAAATCATCTTATACGTGAGTAAATATGGTATATCTGATTTCATGATCTCCCTGGATAGATCGACATACTGAAAAATTTGTAGAAATATGGTATATATTTTAAAACAACACTTATTAAAGATATATTTTCTTATAAACTTCTTATAAATAAAGGCACTTTTCAATCTTAGTTTAAATATAAAATCAAATCTTTGAATCATTATGAATAATGAAAATTTACAAGTTAAATACACTTCCATTTAGATATGAAAAATTTCAAAAGACTGCATTAAGAATGATTCATACTCTTATTCATTTCAGTTTTACATTACATAACTTTTTATCTATATTACAAAAGAAAAAATGTTTCATCTAATAACAATCACAAGACTTCCAGAAAAAGCTGCTTGTTTATAAATAAAAATTTATTGAAATATTTAATTAAGACTAAAATTTATCATCTAGTTTTCAAAGATAAGCACAGTATTTATAATCTAATTGGCTCATAAAACAACTATAAACATTAAACACATTGAAATTATAAAACATTTTTTTCAAATTATACACACAACTTTAATATCAATACTATATTAAAAAAATACACTTACTGTACGTTGTAATTCTCTTACTATAATATTCCTGGATTTTCCTTGAAGTACTACTTGAGCCTAATTAAATAATATATTTCATGTCTTAATAATTATTTCACAAATCTTGATTTATTTTTAAAACTTTTTGTTAAATTTAAAAAATAAATAAATAATTCTAACAATTAAATATTAAAAAGCCACAACTTTTTACTTTATATGTTCCATAAACACACATTATAAACAATAACTTTTCTAATTATATTTTGCAAATATATCATTATAAAAGCTGAAACTAAAATCAAATTCTGAGAATTTATGATTTCTCCAGAAAAAACAAACATTAACTTGCTTCTTTTTAATAATAACAACAACTTTCTCACCAGTCACCACTTGCTGTGGTGAGAGAGCTCAATAATTCTGATAAACTACATAGCTATGTTATCTGGAGCACCCACATGCCAGATCTTTGGGAAGAAATGAAGCCAAGAGTGACTGAACACATATCTGTGGGGATTTAACCATGGTGATAACAATCCAAGTGTAATACTGACTTTGATGTTTCCCAAGTTAACAAGGTCTGCACTCATGAGTTAGAGGCTCTTGTTCAAAAAATATGTCACAGTCTCCCTTGGCCACCAGTGGGGGAAAGTAGCACTGGTCCAAGTATGGCTGCTGCAATGCCCACACCAGTTATTATAGGACACTGGCCTAACCTTGATGGAAATCCAACTACAGACCATTAAGACAAGTAAACCATACCAACAGATAAAACTGACAACTGAGTTTATCATCCATACTTATTACACTATCACAAAACTCAAAGCAGACATGACAGCATATAGATAAGTTACATCAATTGTTTTCACAACATTATCCTCATATATCACAGTCACTGTACAAAGATTGTTTATCAAAAAAGAACAACTATACATAACAACCTTGCAACACTAGAACACATCAAAACAACAAACTGAAGAACAATTACCCCAACATCAATCACATTATCTATCAGGATCATCAAGATACATGCATTGACAATACTGCTCCTACCACCACTATTTTCTCTGATGCTGACTATATCAATATCATTACCAGAAATAGATTAAGCTTAATTCATAGCCTTAAGTCTTCTTTTCCAGTAAGCAATTTACAGGCACTGACTCTGCACAATGGCCGCACAATGCCAAAATCAACACTTCTAAACTAGTAGGAAAAATTACACTATGTGAACACTTACATTCTATTTCTACACTTAGACATTCACACACTAGTTTATGCAGGTGCAGTCACAATAGTAACCTAACATGAACTAAAACTACATCCACAGATAGAAGCACACAAATCGAAAACTCTTCAGAAGCGTGCTTGGCAAAGGAAAATAGAAACACAAATAAACAATATTAGACAATAGCTATGCAAGCTAACATAATAACAAAATAACACCTGAATTAATAAATTTTCAAGAAAATTAAAACACACACAAAGCACAAACAACACAATACATTCAGAATACATTCACACACTCAAAAACTCGCAGCCAAAGCACGACAACTCAATGATACAAAATTTGCTCTGTACAGAAACAAAATAAATTATTCACAAATAACAAAAAACTTTTCTATCAAATTCACTAGTGATTCCCAACACATTGGCATGCCAACTAAAGAAAAACTCACAAATTATTGGTCTTCTCTTTGGTTTACTGCTTTCATTACACAATGCTGATGCAGACTGGACCAAAGAAAAAAACAAAGACTTCTGAAGAAAGCACACTTTGTACTCAGAAGTGGGGATATTATCAAACCCATGGAAGAGGATGAATTTTACTCTTTGGAATATATTACAAATATTTAGGATTCCAACATGTCCAACTAACAGAACATTCACAGATATACCAGAAGCGATCAAATGTAATACTAAGAACACACTTAAATGTAAACATACTATTAAAGCAATTTGTTGTCCCTGTACTCATTTATTCTTTTGGAGAAATACACTAAATATGCACAGATCTTCAGAAACTCCAAAGAAAAACACTACCACCACTTACTAAGCATAAACAATATCACAAGAAATTGTAGTAGAAAGAAAGACTAACTCTTCCTCATAAAGAAGGTGGCCATGGACTAATTAATATAGTTAATCTGCACTTCAAACAAATTCTGATGCTAGAATTTTTCCACAAAAACACAAGAAACATCAAGATTATATAAAACTCTGACAGACAGTAACCACATATATTTAAATCTACACTCTGAGCACCTGGACAAACTCAAAACATAAACAACATAGACACCATTAAGCAGTCATGGGTCCAAAAGCACTTCATGGCAGGCAATGCAAACTGCACCAATCTACTGGCTAACTAGGGGCTGCCTGTTTGGAGAGACATGATCAGGTAATGAACACTAAAAACTACACAAAACACATTCTGAAGGATGCATCAATCACTATAGAAAATGTCACATTCTGCCATAAATAATGCAATGTGTAACATCTAATTGCAAGCTCTTAGCATAAATAGACTATTTACATAGGCATAATCAAATAGCAAATATAATACACCAAGAGTTTGCACATAAACAGATTATTAAACACCCAGGTACTGTACCATACTACAAACATACTCCATAGGCAGTATTAAAAAATGACACACTCAAAAACAATGACAGAGCCATAATCTCAGATAAAACAATTCATCACAATAGACCTGTTTTCATTTTCACTGACAGATGCAGTAAGATCACTTATATAATAGACATCTCCATTCCAAATATGTGTAATATGAAAAATACACTGAAAAAATCAACAAGTACATTCCACTTGCCCACAAAATAGGGCACCTGTGGAGGATGGATAAGACATTTATGTCTATTGTCCTCTCTTCAATTGGTGTCATACCACATACACTAATGTCAAGAAATGTTAAACCTTAATAAAAACATACATATGACTACAGAAAGCTGCAATATTGAACACATGTCACATTGTCAGGAAATTTCTAGATGTAGACACACCAATAACACAAAAGCTTAATGTTACACTTGTTTGGGTAGCTAGGCCTCAGTCCAGCATAACACATGACATCACTATCAGTGGAGAATGACATTTGCAACATAATAATAGCAGCTTTCTTGCTAGTCACCATCTTGTCAAAGTAAAGACAGCTTAGTATTGCCAATGAACCATACAGTGATGCTGCCAGGAGCATAAGCTTCCAGTAGGAACACTCATCTATTAAGGTCTATGAATAAAAAAAACGTCCCATAAACAGCATCTCACCCAGAGTGGGCACTGCTAAATAGCATCTGTTCCTCATGTTAGAAGTAGAGGATTTATAAACACCTTGATTTAGGTATATGGGTATATCTACTTCTGAAAAAAAAAAAAAAAATGGTTGAGACATGATCTCAGCTTAATACTGGCTCAGACACCATTTGAGTTAGCAAGGTTCATTGCTTAGGCAGAGACTCATGTGCAAAAAATCTACCATAGTTTTCCTAGCAAATGCAGCATTGATCCATGTATAGCTGCTGCATCAAAAACACATTTACCATCTCATTCATACACAATGGAAAACCCACCAATCCAGCTAAAATGATTCAGCTGCAATCTAGTCACTGTCTACCTGTAGTCAAATTAATTATTAAAGTAGGCACAAGTAGCCTGATAATTTCAGCAAGATTGCTTGGTTTAATCCAGTTAAAAACATATCAATGGAAGAAATGTACTCAATAAATGAATTCATCATACGTACTTATTACACTATCAGACACGAGAGCATACAGACAGTACATGGTAAATTCATGCAAAATTGTTCACATCTCACTGTTACAGAACAAAGCTTGTTGACCAGAAAATAATTATACATAACATTATACCCCACAAACAATTCTTGAAGATATAAAACAAGTTAAAAAACAGATACATCAATCCAATACTAGATCAAATAAGATCAGACACTCATTGACACTACCTTTATAGCAGTCACTCATGAAAAACACACACAGGATAACATTTACCAATAAAAACACAAAAATTACAAGTGACACTACAGATACAGAATTAATTAACACATTCACAGATTTATTCTAAAAATCATTCACTAAATATACAGGTTTAGACTCCATGTACAGACAACAAATATCCAAAATACACACATCAAAATAAATGAGGAAAACTCTATACTATATAAATACACATATATGATTTATTTATAATTCATTATAAATAAATCATATACTAAAAAATATTTTTGATACATACTTGAGAGACTAATTCCTCCGGTACATAAGGTGCAGGAACTACAGGTCGAGATCCCATTATGACACCAGCTCCTCTACCTCTGCTACTAGTTGTTCTTATAATCCTACCTCTATTGCGTGCTGGAGCTCTGGTTCCACACTGAGAACTTGTAGTGCCCTTTAAATTAAGCCTATTGAGAAACCTGACATGAAAATTTTTGTAATATGGCATTGATAAATTATATTTTTAAAATAATTACATCCATTACTAAGTTAAAACATTTTGAAACACTGATTTTTACAGATTAATTCATAAAATAATATTGTTATTAGTTGAACTTCTCATTCATTTATAACTGTATAAATTAATTTAAGATTCTAAAAGTGCAAATTCAACTGAACTATAATTGATTAATTTGAGTTATTGTTAATTTGTTACTATCTAAAATTTTGGTCATTCATCTAAAGGCATCAACTTTTGTATGAATGATCTTGAAAACTGCAATTTCAAAATTTATAGCAGTGCTTTTATTAATTATGTGCCAGATTGTTAAAAATGTATATCTGCGAATACAGATACAGATACAGATATGGATCATTAGTGTCTAGATCTGCGGATACAGACATGGATCTCAACTTTTGTACTCAGTCTGCGCCAGTGCATGTGACCTTGGACCGATAGTTGATGCTTTGCGTTAGTAATGTGATGTGTTTTGACTTGCACTGTGCGTGTTTTTGTTTATAGTTTAGTGTGACACGGGATAGCATAGATTACGTTTGTGTTTTTGGAGAGTGTTGAGTTAAATTAAAATAAAAACAATGTCGACAAAAAAGTTTAGCAGTGTAATATGGAAATATTTTACAATAGTAAATGATTTTTGTATGATAAAGTTTTTGCAATACGATAAAATTGATAAAGATGATAATATTTTTACAATATGAATGTGCCAAATATGTGATTTTAAAAAATAAAAAGTGATTTGAATTGAAGTTATTAGTATTTTATTGCTACCTATCTTTAAAATTTCATATAAGTAATAAAATTCATTAAGATAAAAGAACCTTAAAGCTTCGCTAAAAAGCAATGGATACGGATCTTTTTTCCCTCAGATATCCATGGATACAGATATCTGGCATAACACTAGTTTTTATATGAAAAATGACAACAGAAAAGTACTATATTTTTTTACCTTATAAGATACTTGTTTATACCTAAAATTAAGCTGAAAATTAGGTGCATCCTCCTACAAGCCAAATGTGTCTTATACTGTGAAGAATATTCCCCATCCAAAAAAAAACATGAAAAATATGATGCATCCAAGAAAACAGTTCATCTCATAAGGTGAAAAATACAATAATCATTATAATTATTTTAATGATACATAGATTGTTTTTTTCAACCTCCAATGGCCCATAAAACAAAGACAAGTGTAAATAACAAAATGAATTTATTACCAAAAGTTAGGTACTGTACAAACATGGTTACTTTTCAATATAATCACCATAAAGATTGAGGAATATGTCATATCTGTAAATAAGCTTCCCCTCTTCACAGAATGTTGCCACCAGTGACTTGAGATGGCCTTATTGTTGTTTTGAAGATTGTCATTAGTCTCAAAACTTCTGCCCTCCTAGCCACGTTTTCAGTTCATGAAAAAGATGGAAGTTGCTCGGCACTAAATGCTGAGTGTTTAAAAAGTTCCAAGCTGGGTGGAAGTATGAAAGGTAGAAGTTTTCACACCTTTAATGTGTAAAGACTTCCAACTCTTTCCTGAACTGAAAACTTGGCTAGGAGGGCAGAGGGTCAAGACTAATGACAATCTTCAAAAGTATAACCGTTTATAACCATTCAAAACAACTTTAAGGCCCATTTCAATCACTGCTGCAACATTCTATGAAGAAGATTGCAAAGTTCATCCACAGATATGACAAATGCCTCAATCTTCATGAGGATTATGTTGAAAAGTAACCATGTTTGTAGGCCTACCTAACTTTTGGTAATAAATTCATTTTGTTACTTACACTTGTCTTTGTTTTATGGACCATTAGAGGTTGAAATAAAACTGCACTTGTATAATTGACTAGTATATAAAAAATAAAAAATATTTTTTTTTAATTTTAAAGAAATGATTTTACCTGCATAAATGTATTAAAAAGTAAAAAAAAAACAATTTATTCAGCTTCACAGTATTATGAAACCAAAAATAAAAGTGTGGCATTCATGTTTAAAAATGATACGCTATGCTTTTACAGTATTTTTGGTTGCACACCAAAAAGATGTACAAGTGTTTTATTTCTCTATTATGTATCTGTTAGGCTAAAAGAATGAAAATACTCATTGGGCGAAAAAACAGCCACAACACGTTGTGACTAACTCAAAAAGACCACAAAGCGAAATTCGTGTCATGGATTTCATGATATTTGACCACTACATGTTGCAGTGATTAAGGAAAGCCATAATGCATTCTAAACAAAGCTTGCTCCAACAAACACATTTTTCCTGCTTAATATTCGTCCTTTGCCAATTTTGTTTGATAATTATATAAAAAGGTACTGAACGTTAGCTGATGCAACCAAGACAGAGGGTGATATGACACACAGTGGTTTGTAACTTTAAAATATGGGTTCTAGCCTCAAAACATTTCTATTTACAATTTTCAATGCGGAATAACATTAGTTCTACAAGTTTTCCTAGAAATTTAATTTTCATACTTAAAAAAATTTCAAAGAAATAAAATGTATAAAGAAAAATACACATTTGCTTTTTTTTGTTTTGCTTAAAAGTGCTAAAGGTCAAACTACATGTACTAGTAGGTGCTCGATGTACTCTACACAATGATTTAAAAATCGGCTGCTAAAGTTACAAACCACTGTGCGATGGATTTATTACGGTTAAAAGCCACCACAAGTTCTGGATGCTAACTAATAATGAGGTGATGATAAGAAAATAAAACTTTCTTTTTTATTATGATTTATTTATCTTCAATCATCTTATATAAGTAGGTAACAAAATTATTCACCACATACAGAAATGTAACTTGGTTACTTTAAACATTTAATCATTCATGAAAATCTGTTGTGGTTCTTGAGATGTCAACTAATTTACTAAAAATAATTACTTTGTCAAGAACTATTATTAATAAATCAATCTTTTTTATGAGAATGAAGAATGTTGCAGTTATTTATTTTTACAAGAACTATTACCGTGACATTTCAAGTTGCATTTTATGTTCTTTGAGTGACATTTGCATTTTTTAATCAATACAATATCTTTTACAGTGACACATTATAAACCCTTGCTTACATCCAGATGTCAACATGGATGCTGAGCAAAGTGTTAATGAAGTTGAGGGTACTTCCTAAATGTTAATAAAGTTACTCTTAGAAATTGTAAATTTAATATGAGCATAAAGTTGATCAAGAAGACCTTCCTTGTTTCCTAACTGATGGAGACCTGATGGATTAATGCTCATAACAGCAGCTAAAACATTTCTGGGAGCTGCATGTCCCCTATTAACATCAGTCACCCTATCTAAAACTTTCAAACCAGCTTCAACTGCAGGAAATTTTGAGTTAGATAGTGAAATCATTTTATGCACCTGTTTCTCTAGGCCAGATTTGGCATATTCTCTCTTAGCATTGATGCTATTCTTTCTTAAACAGAGCTGCAAGTAACATTTGCACCAAATCCCTCATTCTCATTGCTTTCTCCTCAGATAACATGAATGTATTCATTTTTCTTTGTGGTCTTTTTGAGTTAGTCACAATGCATTGTGGCTGTTTTTTTTTGCTCAATGAGCATTTTCATTCTTTGAGCCTAACATATTCATTAGGGTGTCCCTTATATGGAAAAAAATTTTTTTCAAATTTTTTAACGCATACCCCTTAATTCTTTTCAAATCACTAAGACTTACGAAATTTTGATCCCCTACAATGACAATAACCCGTGCCGACTAAGCCTCAAAGTTTTTATAGTCATTTTTCACTATCACTCGACTACATCATTTTCATACGTACATACATACATACATGACTAGATCACTGTAATATTAAATAACTGGTTAAGGAAATCAGACAACAAAGAATAACATTTAAAATTTGTATGAATGTAAATTATTGTGGATATTTTCTTTTCAATGTCTCCTTTTTACAGTCCTTATACAGTTTTCTGTGTACTTGCACAGCATAAAAGAAACTGTTTCTATTCTTCATCTGCAGTAATTAACCCATGAAAATCTTGCACTAATTTAACAGCTCTTTCAGCTGTGTCATTCAACACCTTAAGAGAAACAACATTTCTTTTAGCTTGCACAAAAGAAGCATTTTCTTTCCATGAAGAAACACTTTCCTGAAGGAAACTGCTTACAATTTTTAACCTAGTAAACAGATTTTTGCTCTTCCTAGACATAAAACAATTCAAGATTTTTCCTGAAATAAAAAGTAGGCATAGTTTAAATATAGGGACCTTGAATAAGTTCTCGTTGTTCTTTAACAGATGGCGTTACCAGAACCACGTGNACTGCTTACAATTTTTAACCTAGTAAACAGATTTTTGCTCTTCCTAGACATAAAACAATTCAAGATTTTTCCTGAAATAAAAAGTAGGCATAGTTTAAATATAGGGACCTTGAATAAGTTCTCGTTGTTCTTTAACAGATGGCGTTACCAGAACCACGTGTGTTTATTTTTAGATGGTGACGCATCTGTAAGGAAGTACAATAAGAGACCTTAAAATTCAGTATATGTCATTTCACCGAAGTGTAAACAACTTATTTTTTCATTGTGTTAAACATGTCTAGTTTCATGCCAAAAAAAGAGTATTTATGGGGAATTTTATTGCACTATTTTATTAAAAAAAAACCTACAGCTGAAGCACACAGAATTCTTGTTGAGACTTACGGCGACCATGCTCTGTTGGAAACAACATGTAGAGATTGGTTTAGAAATAAAAAATAATGGTTTTGATGTTGAAACTTTATAAATAATGATTTTGATGTTGAAACTTTATAAGTAATGATTTTGATGTTGAAGATAAAGAACGATCTGGTGCACCAAAAAAGTTTGAAGACAAGGAATTACAGGCATTACTTCATGAAGACTCGTGTCAGACGCTAGCTGAACTTGCAGAATCATTAGGAGTTGATCACACAACAGTTTCGAAACGTTTAAAAGGATTAGGAATGATTCAAAAACAAGGACATTG